ATAAGAAATCAGGAAGGGGGCAAACACTTTTTCACACAACTGTATATGCTGAAATTCACGGTAAACGCATTCAAACGGCGCAGATCGGGAGCGAGCGAAGGACTTTGAAAGTTAACGGAAAGATTAACGTGAAACAACATCCGGTTTCTTCAGACGAACATCCGGTTTTCAGAATAAGATGCCAACAAAGTATACATATTGCATAATGGAAATTAGATTAAATGAATTATATTCACATTAAGTATAAAACATGCTACCTGCATCTCGTGAGTTAAAGGTAAAATACACCTAAATTGTGCGTAAAGTGTCTTTATTCTTTGATTTGAGGGTTGCTGGAAATGAATAATACCTGACTGACAGTCAATTAAGATATTTTACTTAGCAAAAACTCTGAACTGAATTTGTACCTTCAAATGGCACATTTTTGAAATTTTTAAGGTGCTATAAAAATGTTTTTCTCAAAAATTCCACACAATGACTGATGCATAAGTTCAGGACAAAAATGGGTAATATCACAATATTTGAGGTGCTACAAAAATATCTTTCTCAATAATTCCATACAATGACTGATGTATATGTAATCAAGGCATCGTTGACTTAATAATTGTTAATAGTTGTTTAACAAATGTAATAATAACAATAAATAACTACAAAGAAATAAGAATACAATTGAATATGATTGTCTGATTTATGTTTGTTTTTTGTTAAAAAAAATCTAAGAAAACACTTTGAATCTGTAGACTACTGCTTAATAGTCTTATTATTGCCATTTGATGACAATTGCTCATATACTGTAAGCCTAAATAAGTATATTTATTATTTTAAACAAAGGTTAAATGTTATTTCACAAGTTTCAAAAAGTGCCCCCAATTTTTTGAAAATGCCCCTGGATTTCAGTCAGTGGGGGCAAAAATTGCCCCCAAAGAAATATGTAAATTTCCTACCCTGGCTGTGTTACTGCCTGTATGTGCTCCTCACATGCTCTTATTTCCAAGTTGAAAAGTGGAGTTACAACTTAACCCACACAAAAACACACAAAACTGTGCAACAATTATTATCAATCACAATACAGATGCTATTCACCCCAGGCTGTGGGATGGAGTAGGAAAAGTGTTGCTCAGCGAACTGTTAGTAACAAACAGTCATTTATGCAGGATGTGAACTCTAAAAAACCAATAACTTTGTCTTAATAACCACCTGTGTGTAGTTCTGGAGTTGGACATTCAATGAAATCATTTGTCTTCACATTAATAAAAGAAAAGAGTTGGTCCTATAAGTAACATTCTGGCAGAGCAGTGTTCAATTCAAGATGTTCTGTAAATGACCTTTTCAAATGGAAGGTTCTCTCTGCTGCTGACCTTTTTTAAACATATGAACTGTGACCTTGTGACACTTGTCTCGTGTGTTTCCACCCTACCACCCAGCTCTCGTGCCCACCCGCCAATGTTTGCAGTGGGGAGCGACGACAGTAATGTGACGTACGGTGGGAAGGTTCAGATCTATGAGTATAATGAAAACACCAGGAAATATGCCAAAGCAGAGACGCTGATGACGGTCACCGACGCCGTCCATGACATCTCATTCGCCCCAAACCTGGGGAGATCCTTCCACGTGCTCGCCATCGCAACAAAAGACGTCCGAATCTTTAAGCTCGTTCCCATGAGGTGACTGATTCCATATGCATGCAACGTCTTAACGGACGCGCTTCTGCAGCCGCAACCGATTTAAAACTATTCTAAATGACAAGCTACCGCTGTGTAAAAACATTTTCTGATCCATCGGACAGGAAGGAGAGCACCTCCACGGGACCCAGCAAGTTGGAGGTGCAGATTGTGGCTCAGTTCGACAACCACAACTCCCAGGTGTGGCGTGTGAGCTGGAACATCACCAGCACCCTGCTGGCCTCCTCCGGTGACGATGGCTGCGTGCGCCTCTGGAAAGGTAAGAGGTTACTGTTGGCTTCGGTCGACGACGGCTCGTCTGTGTTCCTTTAAGTTTGGTGACGGCTATACTGACAGCAGTTTTTATTTTTTTAGTCCAGCATGTTTAAAATGCTAGTTGGAGTGAACTCTCACCAGGTGTTGAGTGACTTTGGCCTATGCATTGTTGGCATCAGTTGTCGGGTCGCTCAGATACAGTTATTCTCAAATCATCTGAGTTGTTATGATGTACGGTACATTCCAGTATAATTGGGCCAGTGTACAAAAAAAGGTTTGACACGAAGCCAAACATGGGACCTTACCAGTGTGCCGTATTTCACCACTAGGTGTCACACTTGACTCAGCTGCCACTCCTGAGTGGAACCTAAAAACCAAACCAAAAGTTCCAGTCTGGGTCACTGTGTGCCGACTGTCTCAATCTCACATTACGCACATGCACACTTTTACACACAGAGGGAGAGAGAGTTTTCTTCCCTCTCGTGGAAGGTTGTGTGTACTGTCTACTGTGGCATCTTTACTCACTGAGCATCCCAGTAGCACCGCCCCCTCTGTTCAGTTCCAGTTCAGTCGTTCAGTCAGGAGTGCAACAAAAAGTCAAGCAGGATTTTAAATTGTTTTTCTCACACCTGTGGTAATTGTTTACTTATATTGTACTTTGCTTTGCTGTTACTGTCTAATGACACATGAGTGCACAAAATGTGCAATGATCACATCAAATTACAGCGATGGGACATAAAAACGAATTAGCCCACATGCATGGCTATAAGGTAGTAAATGAATGAATAGTTTGGAGGATTGGGCAGCAAATAAAATAAAAGACCTGGCCTTGTTGAGACTGTCTGTCTATTGACACACACAGCAAACAGCGCAATCTGTATGAGAATAATTCATAATAATGAATGTTTACTGAATTCTGTGTGATTACTTTTCCAAATGTCATGAGCTTTATTTTGGGGTGATGCAGCTGCGTCACGTGGTGGTTGTCCCTCGGCTCCCTCTCATTTCTGTCACATTTTCATTCTCCATGTGTGGAATGTAAAAGAAAGAAAAGTACCAAATGACACATTCCTCCATCAGCTTTTTTCCACTTTATGGAGGAAATGATGAACTCATGGTCACTTGTCAATCATGTTGCAGCGTGAACACTCACTTTACCATTCCCCCCCCCCCCCCCGCAGCAAACTACATGGACAACTGGAAGTGCACGGGCATCCTGAAAGGGGACGGCAGCCCGCTCACCGGCTCCTCCGGTCAGCCCACAGCCATGAGCACCGTTGTGGGCTCCTCGGTCCAGACCTCCCAAAACGCCCTTAACGGGATGTCTGCAGGAAGGTAGGTGGTGTGGTGCGTCCGCCGCCACTCACCCAGCCCGACCCGAGCCGGTCAGAACTGACAGCTTATCATGCCTCACACTGACCGGGACTGCAGCCGCTCACTGACACACCTCCTGGGCCCCACACTGACCAAATGATGCACTCATGCAAAGAGCTTGGCTTCCGAGCCTGCGGAGTTGGATGTGCTGTGGTGTGTTTTTGTTTTTTCCTCTTGACTTGTACAGATGCATGCAAGAGTAGTTTCCACTTTGCATTGTCAGTGTTGGCGCTAACCACACTCTTGGTATAAAAAGTTAAATAAACCGCTTTTATATAAATTCGATATGTGACGATTATTTCAAATTTATATTTTGGGATATCCAGCAGAACCATTTTGGTGTCGGGTGACATTATTTTGTAAATATTGAGAAATCTGATTAGGTTGAGGCGCCTACGTCTCAATTGCCATTTTGAGATGTAATTCTTCTCATTTCACTTTTCAATTTCAATGCATCCTTGAGCAAGTAATGCCCAACTCTTTGCTGAGCAGAAGGACTTGAATGAAGCTCATTAACCAACCGTAATAACAATATGAGTATGAATACAGCCACTGACAGTTATGACTCTAAAGCCAGACGATGTAACTTGTCACAGAAGAGATAACGGCCTTTCTTTTATAAATTAAATGTTGAATTCATAAGAAATAAAAGTCACAATTTCTCAATTCAGTGCACTCAGGTTGTTGTTGCTCCGGCCTTTACTTGGTCTGGTATGACCAGTCGCCTTAAGTGGCTAAGTGACTCTTCATCTGCTACAGGTACAGTTCATGTTTTGGATTACAAATGAGTTAATATTGGATGTTTGTATGAAACGGTTTCAAACGTGTTTGAGCTCATCAGAGTCGGTATGTGGCTGTATTTATGTTCAACTTTAACAACCCTCTTAACTTTACAAAACCTCCATTTACCAGCTTTGCAGTTTCCAACTTAACTCTAGAGTCATCTCTAACCTTATTAAACATCTGCGTATGACGTGCTCTGTTGCGCTCTAAAACCCAGATTTGATTTTTGTAAAATGACTTTGCATAAAAGATTGTCTTGCATTGCGTCGGGCTTGTTGAAGTAATGTGGTATTGTACTGCTTGTTGCATGCAGGATTGGCAAGAGAGCTCCCTTTGCCCCTCCTCTGCGGCAGCAGCTGACCTCTCCAAAGACAAACCAGCATCCTGCGTATTACTAATGTCTCTGCACCAGCTGCCACTTGCCCTTGTGTCAATGCATTTGAATATGTCATGTCCTAGCTGAATACTTGCTGGTGAAGGGCTCTGTGATGGAATGTAAACCCTCACGGTTCTGCTTTCACAGCTTCCGCTTTGTTTAGGTTCCAACCTGTTTGTTAGAGAACGCACATCCACCTTTTAGAGAATAAACCCTTATCACTTCTCTGTCTGCCATTCTCCCCTCTCTTTTTTCAGTTTCTAAAGCATACATGCATTCTTTTTAAAATCTCTCATTTCTACTTCCTTTTGACGTGTTTCCCCCTCCCCTATTCCATCGTCTTCTCCCTGTCCGTGTGTCTGTCGTCTGCGTCTCCATCCGTTTTCTTTGTGTTGCTTCAGGTATTTCTTTCCGCCTCTGGATCCTCCCAGAGCGGGGACCAGGTATGGTCACCTGCTGCCTTCCTCCTCTCTCATAGAGCATTGTGACGCTGAGCCCGCTCAGCCTCAGCAACAGCCTCTTCCCCACAGACTCTACTCTCGAGCACTGCTGCCCTTACCAGAGGCTGAAGGACTGTGATTTTTGGGGTGTTTTAGCTTAAACAAAAAGGGATGGGGTTAGGGAGGAGGGGTGGGCGGGAACAACACAAGTGCCATTCATTTCTAATAAAGATTCTGTTTTCTAAATGTTTTGTTCTTTTTCCTTCATGGAGATTTAGTGAATGTTGCATTACACGGCCAGTGAAGCCATTTTGATAACCATTTCTATGTATGTGAACAATCAACTAAACATTCCCCCTATTCAGTTTTGTGTTATAGTTCTTTACGTTTTTGGAATGTGCATTAAAAAGCGCATATAGTTTTCGTTTTTTTGGGGTCTTGAGACGGCCGGTAAGTTTTTTTTTTTTTTTTTTTTTTTTTTTTTCCCTTCCCCCGAAGGACACGGATGACCCGCAACCCTCAGTGCCTGCAGAGGAAGTGTTATTGCTCAGTGGTTGAAAATCGCTCATGGTAGAAGTCAGAATAAACGCCACAAGATACAAAGATAATTTTATTTTTGAATAGTTTTCCTTCCGCACACACAAAGTGACAGCATTCATTCATGATTGACTGATTACCATGTGGGACAGCTCTTATATAGAAATAACACATGATTCATCACAACACATTTCTTTTGTAGGACATTGATCCACTTTTTTTAATGCTGAGTTGGGTGAAAAGTCAATTGACACTTTATGAATGATATTCTAAAACGTGTGAACTGGTATGGTTCTTTGAAGGCAACTGGATGTGGCCTACTTTTTAAACTGAAAAATGTCTTCTCCCAGCTTTACTCTGAATTAAGGGAAATAAAGGGCATGCCATTTGTTTTGACAGGAAGGATAACATTCATTAATTTCATGGCTCACTCGTATTGATGCCTCACAAAGTGGAATGCTCGTGATGCAGCTGTCTGCTAACTAAGACTTTTGCAGCTGCTTGGGAGGAACACTTGATCCAACAAACTCTACTTTCAACCTGCAACAAATATAATGTACTTTTATGTCCCTCTGTATGGTAGGAAAGTAACCTAACTTAAACTCATTAGCTTATTTTTCAACCTAATGCTGGATCTTTACTCTGTGAATTTCCACAATTTATTGTATATTGTTGTATTTTGTATTGCCATTACATTATGGCTGCAGTCTAAAAATACCCCCCTCCCTCTCTTTCATTCATCTTGTATGGACAAACACGATGGATGCAGTGATGTGCCGATGCCCAAACTGTCTAAAAGTCCAGCGGAATGACGTGAATCCCAGCCTATCGAGATAGACAATTCCCTCCTCCTCAGTTTAGTCGTCCAATCAAAGCGGTTTCAATTGGGTAAGTCCCGCCCACGTGACATGGACGCTCACGCGGGCTTCCTGTGGATTCTGGGCGCTGCTTGGGTCCTCCGAACAGTTGTGCGGGTTGTTTGTTGTGCCTCCTTTTAAGAGATAATGACTAACTTAAGTATTTGGGAAGTTTCTTTTGGAACTTAACGACGCCTCGCGACGTGTCCGCACCAGTGTATAGAGACAAACCTCGAGTTGGACAAGAACCGAGCTCTCGGCGGTCTTCTGGAGTGTCGGACGTGAGTTGAAGTCCAACTAACGTGAACGTTGTGATTTAGCGCTAACGTTAACGCTCTTGCTGAAATGGCTTTGTGGCTATGGCAGCCCAGTTTTAGTTAACTTATCTGTGTCGTCTGTAACTTGTGTTGCAACACTTGTATCGAACTTAATAATGGAAGATAACGTCAGTTAGCTCAGATTTTGAGTGTGTTGGTGCTTTTGACAAACCCCTCTTGTTTTTAGCAAGGGGCGCTATACGAGCTAGCGTTGAAAGTAAGCTAACCTAGAGAAATCAGGTTAGCTCGTTAGTTTTAATTACTTTCGTAGCTAGGCCAAACTTTACACCCGTTGAACCAATATGCATGAACATTTTTTTTTTTTTTTTAAGTATTCGCGGTAAACTACTTTTCTTATCTGATTTTCGCAGCTGTGAGGTGGTATCAACACGCCGACATACAATCTAAATGGTCCCATCCCTGCCAGCACACTGTAAAGTTTGCGTGTATTTTACTTTCAGTTCCTAAAGTAATACCGACCTGCCTTTTATGTCCCCTAGTCCTAGACATTACAGATGGTCTTCACCTGCTGAACTGAGGTCGAGCCACATTTGGCTGTCACCCTCCATTCCAAACCATGGCGGAAAGTTTCTACAAGCTGGAAGATGAAGCCTTCCCCAGTTTCCTCTGCAAGTCCCTGGAAAGCACCGTCGGCCGCGCCACCCTGGGGAATGTGACACTGGGTTCAGGCCCAGGACTTCCAGTGGCTGCCTCCACAGTGGCTAAAATTAAACCCGGCTCTGACAACAGGTGGGATCCCGCTGCTGCTGATCGGGACAGATGTGGCTTTTTGTGGAAATGCTCTCATACATTAATCTGTGACTCATGACCCAAACTGTTTTTGACTTGGTGTGAGAATGAACGCTGACATCTTTTCCCAATTCCTGTTTTGGGAAGTTTGTGTTTTTACTAATTTAAGCATTGAAATGCAACTGGAAAAATGAAGTATTTGTATGCTAAAAATAGATGAGATAGGAATACATTATGACAAAACACTGAGACATGATTGCCAAATATAGAACTGCATATGGATACATGTTGCTGCAGCCCTTTCTGGTGTCTTACAGTTCCCCCTAAAGTAACAGGATGTTCACAGTGAGTCAGTGCTCTGTTGCTAAATGTCATTTTGGAGCAGTAACCCTGATGTGGAGCTGTTTAGCATGATACAACCAGTTGTTTTGTACCATCAGTGCCATGTGCTCTTGCTTTACAGAGGAGATCCTGTTGAGGCTTCATATCTGGAGGCCAACTCGCAGTCATCTGTTCGAGAACAGCCCAAGTTTGCCCTCAGCTTCAAGGATGACTTGTGAGTATATAAATACATGTAGATCACACTGCTGATTAATTGTTTTAGCAATGTTGTCGGGGAAGAAGAAAAAAAAAAAGCTGATCTTGTGTTGTAGTTCGTAGAATTGCTTTGTAATAGCAGATTGTTTTTATAAATTAGTTGTTATTGCATTGCTTGTTGACTAATGTCAGCATGATTTAAATCAGTGCAGGAGATTGTCACTTAAAAGCATAAGCCATGCTATCAAATGCAATTCATCTAAATATTCATTTATCTTTTTGTGAGTCAACCCGTCTAGGTTGAATTATTTCACTACGTACTTTCCCAGTTATGTACATTCGACAGTTGAATTCAATTACAGTGAATCATGCTAAGAGTATGTCAGCCTACTTTTAACTCATAAATATATATTTTGTGTGTGTAACTATGGAGGGATGGACATTCTTAATGTCTTAACTATATTAGTTTATATTCCACCTTCTTTTTCCCCATCTCATTTTTGTGTGATTGTTTACATCCCGCCTGCTTTAAAGGGACAATGCGGATGACTTCATTGCCGCCCACCGTCTCTCAGACATGCTGGTGAAGATTCATTTGGATGAAAGCGCATCTCAAAACCGAGGCTCCATGCTGGGGCTCCCTACCACGCAGATGGGCTCAGTCCACGGCCGGCACACAGAACTTGGGATGGGTAAATATCAACGCACCAGTCTATCTTTGTTGGTGGTTTTATTGCCAATCTGTTGCTGTGGCAACGGCTTTGGTCCACGTTTCCTTCCTGTCAGCTTGTGCACTAACAAACATCATAACAGGAAATATAAAGGAGTCCATTTAGAAAGTGTTATGATGTAAACGGTCAATAGGTATAACAGTGTGGCGATACTGCCCAGCCTCAGAATCAGTAAATACTCTTTTCTTGATTGGAAAACTTATCAAAGGTGGGTTCACCGAATACTATATGGACGTATATTTGTGCTTTCTGATACATAAAGATGAAATAATTCTCATTACTAGATGAAGACACGTTTTCTTTGAATGATACTAATGTACTTTGTCTTTCCTGTCTCTTCTGACAGATCTGTCAACAGGCCTTCTGACATTTGCTCATTTTGGACATCTAGACAGCACGGATGCAACGGTACACATTTTGGTAACTCTTGACCAGCTGACAGTTGTACATTTTATGTGATTGCTCTTTTGCAGTAACTCGTAGACCCAAAACTGGGCCATATAGATAATAAAGTTATTTTTTTGCTCATAAAATCGGGGACCTTTTTCATGTGCATATCAGAAAGAGAAAGCCATGTGACCCCTGTTGAGGCGTAACTCGTATAATTGAAAACCCTTTATGTTGCTTAATTTTAAGTTTAATGTCTTTATAATTAGGCATATTTCGTCTTTTTAACTAGTCTCGTTCTACCCCGGTTCCTTACAGGATATAAAGGATTTTCAAAATATTTTTAAATATAGGTTGGTGTTTTGGATTTGAAACAATGTTTCTCATGTATAAATGCTGTTTTGACCTCCAACAAATCTCTGATCAGGTGCCTGCGAATCCGTTCTCGTTTCCTGGGCAGTTCAAACAGGCTCAGCCTTTACCAGCTACAGCCGAGGAGGACAACGTGCAGAGTGAGGGAGAGGACAGTGACCATTTCAGTGGCAGCAACTCGAGCTTCCTGGTGAACGAGAAGCTCATGTGTGTGGACAGCATGAACAGCGACATCACAGGTTCATGCAGCCTTGATTTTATTTGTTAAACATAGATTATAGATTTTGTCAAAGCTTGAGTCCTTTTGTTAACGTGCGTTTGATTACCAGATGATGACATTGATTCGAACGACTTGCCTGATGATGAGCTCGAGCAGTATTTCAATAATCTGGTGCCTCCTGCCATGCAGAGAGGCAGAGTGGAGGGCCAAGAGATTCCTGCAACAGTAAGTCCCCTTTGAAACACTTTGCCTCTTACACCGTACCAGCACTAGTGAGTCATTGGACAACTGTTTAAAGTGGCTTTTCATTCAACTGTCATTTACTTGATCTATTTGTCTCACTGTCCCCATTAATATGTATATATTTGTTCATAGGGACTCCCCGGTGTTACTGACAACACATCAAACCCAAGTTCCACAGAACCAGACCAGTATAGACACCAGTTCCTGGATGACTACAATCAGGTGAGCACATTGACACCCTTACTGTTTTGTGCCCATGTGCTGCTTCCAGCTTGCATGGAGAAGAGTATGAATATGATCTTCCTGCCTGAAAATACTGTTGAGTTTCATGAATATCAGCTGGAAATTTGCGGTTTGGCAAAGGCTGCCCAACTGGTCTGACTCTCTACCTGCAAATCTGTCGTTACTTTTGTGAATCATATATTTAACTCAAATCAAACGACCAGTAAATGTTTTCCCCTGATCATTGATTCTCTTTTCTCTGACTTTTCGTCAGGAGGACTTCCAGATGCCGGATGTGCGTCTGGCTGCTACGGGTATGGACTCGTGTCCTGCCAGCGACGAGGACACCGAGGACGAGCTGGAGTGTGTCAGAAGGGGCAGCAGTGCCACCAGGACCCGGCTGCTGCCCAGCACCTCCAGACAACTGGTCAGACATAAAAACCAATATTATCAGACTTTAAAAACTCTCAAATATAATAATCAGTTAAAGACTAAAAAAATCCTACATCCAGTAGCTCCATCATTTCGGATTGAAATGTACTTTACAACAGAGTGTTGCTTTATGTCATTTCTGTTCGTATCTGCGTGTACAGGTTGGAGAGAGTAACCGTCCCAGTTTCAGGCCGGGCTTAGAGGGAGGCAGTTCTGATGACGAGGCTTCCAGCGGCCGCGGCGGTCCATCTCTGTCTGGGATCGAACACAGACGATCTGCTGAGGGACAAGTCATCAACCCTCCAGTCACGGGTACAATATGCAGCTTCAATCACTGTCCTTCACTGCCTTATTATTCCTTTTTGGTTCTCTGGCTGGCTTTCCTGTGTTCTTGATGAATTGCATGTGCAAGTGAATGCATGTTATATGTATTCAATAGTAGTTTTGAGGCCGCTTTAATGTTAAAGTGACCACCGTTTTTTGTGTCATTGCGTAACTCCAGGGGATGGAGGAGGTGGGGATGGGAGCAGTGGGAGTGAGGAAAGCGGAAACGACGGAGGAGTTTCGACCATCCCCCTCCCGACGCCCGTCGTCCAGACCACCTATGATGTCCTGCGCGGTCTGGGGATCGCGGGGAGCAGTGCTGCTGGCGAGGATGAGGACGGCGACCTGAATCTGCCTGGACACGGAAGGAGCGGTCTCTCCAGACATACTGAGGTAAGAATGAGGCTCACTTCTGGCTGCACTCCGGTAGCAGCGAAGTTGCTCATCGGTATCATTAATGTTATCAGACACTTGGGCATTATCTGCAGATTTTATACACACTTTAAATCCTATTGATGGCATCTTTTTCTACACCTCACATACTTCCTGTCTGCCCTCATAATGTAGATTTTTATTGGCCCACTGTTATCTTCTATAGTTTTTTTTTACAGTTTAATCATTCCACAACGTTTGCAGATGGGCGACCGTGTGGGTCCTGTAGGAATAGGAGAGGTCAGCTCTTTTGGACCATCGAGGGGAACTCGGAGGCTTTCTCCCGTCAACTGGAGCATGGTCCTGGACCGACAGGAGGCACTGGTGAGTACAGGTGCACCACAACCTCCAATGTTACTATAACAGCCCCACTGGCAGGTCATTTAATCGGGCATATATTGATTTTATAATATCATATAGTATTTCTTTATTATTTTTTTTTATTACTTCAATCCCGTTGAATGGTGGTGATACTTAGAGAAGGTCAGTGAAAAATAAAAAGACAAACTGTTGAACAAGAAAACGCTAAGCCCTGCACAATAGAACACAGTATTAAAGTTAAAGCTGCAATGGCTAAAATACTGATGAATATGATTTATGGCTCTGTTTGTCAACGTGGTTCTGATTTGAATGGCAGGATGCGATGGAGAGCACCGAGTCTGGGCCCACTGTGGACCGACTGCTGGACTCAGCCTACCTGAGGAGTGGAGCTGGACTCGGGAGACCTCAGGACTCGGCAAATCTAACTTTCTCCCACCTTCAAGGCACCCAAGGAAGCTTCCACCTCTCCCAGGTACAACATGTAACATTGCACATTTCAACCCGTTTTTTAAATCAAATTGAGAGCTCAGAGACAAGTATCCAAACAAATTGTCGTTGTTATGCAGCCTTTATACCTTTTGTCAAAAAACTCACCCTTAGGTGCTGCTGCCAGAATGCGATGATGATGATGATGATGATGATGATGGAATAGATGAGCCTGATGGATCCAGGCCTTGCTTGGGCCTAAGGGGTGGGCCTTGTGGTGAATTGACAGCAGCAGAGGCCTCGGACAGCACCAGTGAGGACGGCAACAATCCCCTTTCCACCTCGCTGGAACTCAAGTACTTCTCCCAGAGCTTCCACCAGGACCGAGAGGATTCAGATGATGGTTGGAACCATTGCCCAGCCAACCTGGAGATGGAGTTTCAACAAGGTTGGCTTTATCTGTGATGTTTAGATATAGGTAATCAAACTGAATACACAATGGGCCTCATGCAGCAACATTCTCTTAAATTCATCTTGTATTTTCTCTTAATAGTTTAAGAGAAAGAATAGGATTAGTCAACTCCAGATGCACAAAACAGTCTTAACCATCCAAATATTATTATTATTATTATTATTATTATTATTATTATTATTATTATTATTATTATGATTGTTTTGGGCATTTTATGCCTTTATCTGACAGTGCTAGTGGAGTGTGAATGTGGGCCGAGAGTAGAGGAATGACGTGCAGACACTCCGTCTAGCTGTGAATCTTACCTGGGAACCTCTGCTCAGGGTATTTACGGCCTAATCGCTCGGCTATCGGGTCGCCCCTAAATGTGCTTCATGTGTGCTGAAGGATGAACCCCACATGATCATAAATTTGAGGCACGTGGCCATGTTTTTTTATTAAACACTATATAAGGGCCGTGTGCAAATACTCATCATTCATCCAAATGAATCTTTACCATCGTGTTTGAAAGTCAATGGGCTGCAACGAAGTCATCAGTATTGTCCCTGCAATGCGGGCGGGAATTGAAATAATACTTGTTAGGATCACATCCAATTGACATGGAGAGAAACAGTAGAATATAAGTTATAGTTACGACTTTACTCTGACACAAGCCCAAGAATTGAAGAGGCCACCAAAAAAAATGAGGAAGAAGAACTTCAGCATTAGTGAAATCGATGTACTGTTTAATAAGCTGTTTTAATAAACATGTCAGTAATGGTGTTTCAGGAAAACCAGAAAGAATCAAAGAGCAGCTTGTAAGCCATTCAGAAGCTGAACACATGTCATATTGCCCAGGGGTTTTATAGAGTTTGTTAATTGGACCCAATGGACTCGCAGTATTTTCTTAATAATCCGATCATTATGATTCCTCTAAAACATATGATAATCTACATTATATGGTAGTCATGCTTTCTCATTTTAAAAATGTTTCCTTGTTGAATAAACAGTTTGGACTGTGAAAACCAGATGTTTTTTTTCTTATCTTGGTAAGAGTGCTCTCGTAAAATGTTCTCTAACCTAAGAAGCGCAAAAAAAGAAAACTTTGACGAATCCCAGAAATCAATGGATACCAACAGAATAGGACCAAATCTTGGATACGAAACAAAAACGAGAGGAAATTTGTTTATCTATCATTTCCTTCATGAGGCCCATCGTTGCGTGGTGTAAGGTGTTCACAGCATTGCTTGTCTCTTCAGGGGCCAATGCCACTCATAGTGTGGTGTACCAGAACGAAGAGGGGCAGTGGGTGACCGACCTGGCATACTACTCCTCCTTTGAGAAAGAGGTTGACGGGAAGACATCGGAGAATGTTGCCCAGTTTCAGACTGAAGACTTTGTTCCTGCCAGTACGTACAAAGGCCAAAGCTCTGTTGCATTTACTCAAAGATTACTCTAAGTTAGCGTTACTGTTAGTGCAGGGTACTGTTGATACATTGACACTTATTTTTCCTCCTTGCAGGTGATGCTATAGGAAAGATAGTTAAGGATCAAGAGGAATTTGAGAAGGAGCACCAATTCATGCAGGTACACAACGGCCCCATTTAGTCCTTGATGTTTGTACCGTATTGTGAGAGAAGACACTAACAGACTGCTAAAACTCTCAGCTACCATGCATTTTTATAAAGCACAGCCGTTTGTGGTTTATTATAAGTATTGCTGTTTGCACAGGAGGAGCAGATTGAACCAGCCAGCAGCAACAGCACCTTTCAAAGCGACTCCTCTTGGAAGGCCCCCACCAACAGCCACGTCCTGATGAGGGCCTCCCAGGTCTCCTCTGAGTTCAAGCAGGGGGACCACAGCTACCTGCGACTGACTTTGGGGCAGTTTTTTGGACAGCGCTCTGAAGCCCTGGGCTGTCTGGGTAGCGCCGATGATGTGGATTGGGTGAAACGGGTGAATGTTTTGTTTTTGTTGTTGTTGTTGCTGGGAGACTAATATTTATGGCAGGGCTGAAGAAGATTGTTTTAAAGTCTGACTGTAACTGTATTAATAGCTCCATCTTTGTTCTGCTAGCCGTCCTTCGGCTACATCATCACCTCTCCAGAGAAAAGGGAACCGTTTCCCCTGATTCACCCCTCAGACTTCTCAGCTAGTCGCAATTCTCCTCACAGTGACACCATGGAGCTCAGCGAAGCAGACAAAACCCTCAACCCAGGTGTGTTCACGGTATCGCTCGGGCTGAAGAATCTCTTTCTAGGCTCATGTAGTAGTACTGGCTGTTTTCTGTGTTTTCCAGTAATTCACACTGTGCTGTTACTCATGATCATCTCCTTGCAGAGGACCTGGACAAAACTCTCGAGGCACCAGGTGAAAGGATGTCATCGAAAGGTGTTACTGATCCAGAACCACGTGAACAGGAGGTACAGGGACTCTTTGGGATGAGTTGATGCTTCAATATCTCCATGTAGGGTTACATGCATGGCAGTATGGCTTTCTGACATGAGATCCCTTCTCCTCTTTAGGACCACGCTGGTAGAGCTGCACTACCTGACCACACTGAGGCCTCTGGCTCTGATTCGAGCCCGGGAAACCAAAGCTGCGTGTCCCCCAACAACAGCAGCCACCTGATGCTGAGTATTAGCACAATCGCTTCAGCCATTGCCGACGCGTCCATCAGCACCGACCCGTCGCAGCTGGCTGCCATGATCGTGGAGCTGACCAAGAGGAGCAGGGCGAGGAATCGACCTGAGTCGGCAGGACTTGTTGGACCTGCTGTCAACTGCACAGAGGAACCACGCTCTGCTGAGCATGTAAGGCTTTGCTTTTTTTGTTGTTTTTGTTCTTCAAATATTAGTCTTATAGTTGATAGTATGTACCTTGATTTGGTCATTACCATATGCTGCAAAAGTGCTCTCAATCAGAGTTAACATTGTTTGTTTTCTGGTCTAAGATCAGAGAACGTAATCGACAAGATTAGTTCTCCAATTCCATATTATGAAATATATTAATCTCTCAATATATTATGTCTCACTGGGACAAACTGAAAACATGCATTCCCTTGAAAGTAATCATCTTTAGAACTACACAAATTTGTTGACGTTAAATACTTAAATTACTATCTGTATTTGTGCTGCAGGGATCGGCAACATTGAAAGTGCGATCTCCTATCTTCCCATTCCCAAGTGTAAATGGAAAATAAAAAAATAAGATAAATGTTTCCCTCTACATAGATCCTCCCTGAGCCAGAGCAGAGCGGCCTGCTGGACGCACTGCAGAGGACCTGTGTCGGAGAGCTGAGCGCCTTCGACATGGAGAAATACCTGAAAAAGGCCGATGTGTCGGGCAGCAGCGATGTCTCTGCGGGGCACACTATCTTTGACCTGACCGGCTGGGCCGACAACCTCAGCAGCTCTCACAGGAGCCCCGAGGCAGGACATCCTGAGGAACATGGGAGCTCAGGTCAGCGAGTGGATAGCGAGACTCTACAGAAGCCCACGAGAACAGAAACGGAGGACAAAGACGGAGGAAGAGAGACGACAGTAAACACTAGCTCATCGTTATCTCCAGGTCATAAGGGCCTCTCAAAAAGAAGCTCTATTCCTCGTCCTCGTACATCTTTCAGCTCTTTCAGAAGGTCTGTGGGCTCAGGGCAGGCCTCCACTGTCTCGCCTCCTGCAAACAAAATGACAGCATGCGAGAAGACATGTGCTTCCTCCAGCAGGACCCTCACAGAAAATGGTGTAAAGCCAGGGGAACTGAACCCACAAGCATCCAGCAATACTAGGTCTTCCCTCGAAACATCACAAAAGAGTGATGAAGGCTCTGCCGCCTCACCTGGCTTGCCAAGTATCCCACCAGGCCTGAGAACGGGTCAGTCAAGCCTGCCTTGTTTTAAAGGTTCCTCTCCTCCGCCACAGAGGGCGAGGACTGCAGGCCAGCAGCAGGACATACGGAGTCATTCTCCAGAGAAGAAACCACCACCACCCAGGAATATCTCAGCCGCTCCGCTACCTCGCAGGTCTCTGGAGAAACATGTTGGCTTCTCTTGCCAAAACACTCAGCCTCCGCTGGACTCTGTGTCTGGTGAGTGAAAAGCAGAAATGACGGGGCTTATGATTTTAACAGCACACATGCAGCAGTTGTCTGGGCAGTGATCACCTTTATTCAAACAACTGTAGAGATCAGTAGACAGCATGTTGCACATCATTTGAAAGTATTGCCACTGTGAGACTATTGAGATGACATCTAGGGCTGTAAGAAAATATCAATACTTTGCTATCTAGCAGGAGGGGGGTTCAAACACAACACTAAATGAGCCGCGTTATCTGTCTTCCGCCTCTGTAAAATAGTGAATAGAATACAATCGTTTAATAAAAAGAGAAAAATAATTCTTTCTTTTTGGGACAGTAGTTTAAATTATGAAACATGCATCAGCACAAGGGCAATTTTATTTCTCCTGCTGTCCACAAATTTTATCGAAATTGGGTAACTTGGTACATTTCTGGTGAGGGCACGCAAGAGCAATGAAAAATGTGTCGGGGAGGAGGAGAGAGACTTCATTTGATACCTCCACAAAATCTGGCCTTAAGGCTCGTACATATCGACCCACTTGGTCCAGAATTTAATGAACAGTTTTCTGAATACGAAGAAGAAAAATAAGTAATAACATGAATGTAATTTACTATATCTCTCTGTACCCCTACACTCGTGTATCGTACAGGAAGTAACCGGCGTCTTGCAAGTGCTTTTTTTACACATGGATATTGAAATGCCAAACGTGTATCCATCAGGATGTCTTGCCTGAAAATCTAAATTTCCTGAAAAATGATTGTCGTGGCAGATCAGTGTTCAGTATCCTTCCAGTATCTTAGTATGTAGAATCATAACCCTTGTATCATATGGCCAGAGGCTTGCCCATACACAGCCCTGATGACATCATGAGTGTGTATGTTAACGATAACCTTGTTCCTCAGAACTGCTGAAGGGTTTCTCTGAGCCCGGTGTGGAGGAGACTCAGTGTAACTTCAGACCGTCCACCTCCCCGCTCACTCACTCCTCTCCAAGTCAGACCTCCGTTCCCAGTGCTGATGGGTACTGTATCACACATGGTCCTAATATATCAAAAGAATTGAATATTAGTACTTTTTGTTAAGTAGTAACTTTTTATGGCTTCGGTTTTAACTTTACCCAAATGGATAAATTGATTACTTGACAAGAGAGTAACTGAGTAACCATTCATCTTAAACATTTAGTCTTTTGTCTGGTGTAATTTAAGTTTCTACTACTGACAGACAGGACGTTTGTATTTTGAGTTATTATTTATTACTTTGTCTTGTCTCACCAGTATGGCGTCACCCGCGTCGTCCAGCGGTGGTCTGGCAGACAACCGTCCAGGTGTCGACCTCTCTCCTCAGTCTGCCTGCTCCAGCCCGAGTCCCAGCAGGCTCACGTACATCTCAATGAACGATGGCACTGTCGTACCTACACCTGACAGGCAAAAGGTACGGTAGGACAAGGTCCAGCGTACCTGATCTCAGCTGCAGCAGCACTGAAAGTTCTGTTGAAATGAAGCAGTCAATATGTGGTTGAAGTGTAGACTTTCTTTTTCTTTTTTAGATCATAAGTGTCCTTATGGCCCTGACTGTAATACCCATCCTTATGCGTGAGACATGAAGGGCAGTTCTCTTTTGAAATGAATGTTGCAAAGCCAGGTCACTGTCAATGTTGTTGAAATCTGGAGACATGCTCTCAACAAAATACATTTCAAACGCTGCAGTTTGACCGTACTTGTTAATGTTGCAGAAATTAGATGTTAAACATGTATTTTTAAAGGAGTACATACATACTCTGACCTAAAAGGATGAAATAGTGAATTATGTTTTCTGCGTCAGTTGTTTATTGGAGAAATGTTTTTAGTTCTTTATTAATCATGAGTGTGGTATTGAGCGTCGTGGGTTGTTCTTCTTGTTGCCGTCCACAGAACAACTGCACCATGGCACTGAGCACCACCATCATCCGATTCAGTCCGACTCCCCCCATGGAACCAGATGCACAGTCCGACCTCGATATTCTCGGCCGGCCCAAAAGCCTGGACCAGGTGCAACCACAACATTCTAAAAGTCTCGACCCGCTACCAGCACAGCAGTGTAAAAGCCCGGAGCCCTCCCGCAGTGCTTCTGGTCTGAGCTGCACACGCAGCCAGAGTGAATGTAACTACCACTACCATGGGGACAGAATTGGAGAGCTCTCAGCAGGTTGCAGGAACCACAAGCAACTCTCCGAGTACAACGCGAGACAGCTCACTAAACAAGTGGACTCTGGCTACTGCAGCAATGTGAACATCCAGCAGAGCAGCAGCAGCAGCAGCACCGCAGCTCCCCAGAGCTCGCAGCAGTGGGGCGCTCCTAGCTCGGTGTATGCTGGTGGGCTCGGCATGCCTCCGTCCTACTCGTCAGACGGACTTCACTATGTGCCCATCCCCAGCTTTAAGCCCAAATGTGCTGGCTTGATTGACCTTCCCCACCAAGCAGATATGCAGTCCCTCTTCACTGGGTGCGCTCTCTTCAACCCCCAGCTGGCTCAGCAGTATTTGGGACCCGAAGCTCCATTGCATCCTGGTGGCTACCATGTGGGAGCAACAGGAAATAGTCTCTTCAGCGTGTCCTCCACAGGCATGTCTTTTCTGTCAGCTTTCACAAATAATGATGCCGAGTTATTTGTGGCAAAACGGTAAAATACCGATAATGGAGCAACTGCCTCATCTTCTATTTTTTTTTTCCCCAGGCATACCCAACAGTAATCTCACAGTGAGACATGTCCATCCCGCATCAGGTCATCTGGGGATTTCTGGGTCTGCTGGGACCCATCACCTCCCCAGACCCCATCAGGGCCAGCAGGACTTACACTATAGTCACTATGGTTCAGAGCCACTGGTGGCAGGTGGTCTTGAGGAGCTGAGAGGTAGCAGTGGATTTGGTGTTTATATGAGAGTTAACGTCCTTTACCCATTTTAATTCTCTGCTTTGTCGTCTTGTTAATATTCTTTGTCATACCATAACTAATTATATATGTGGTCAGTTTGTTAAATGTAAGGTAGATAATCATTTTCTTGTGCAAATCAGAAAATTGCCACAAACGGTTTAACTCTTAATTTGTAAATCCTGCGATAAATTATAGTGCTCAAGTCTTTGCATCTCTTACAATCACTGACAGTAAAGCATTACTTAGCACTTCTTCTCCACAGAGGGGCAGCGTTTCCCCGCATCAGCTATCCCTGTTCCTCTGTCGTCCTCAGGCCATGTGGTGGTGCCAGAAGAACTGCGGTTCCCTCACGCCTGCTGCGTCGGCATCGCCTCACAGACCTCCCTCAGCCTCTTCAACCCCTCCGAGAGATGGCAGCAGGTGTCGATCGCTGTCACCAGCCTGGCCATCGATGGAGAGAAGGTGAGCAGGAAGCACAGAGTGGTGACGGATTCAAAGGATACGCTAGAAGTCTCTTCAGGATTGTTTTAAAATATCCGGCTAAACCAGCTCTATTAATCATCACTTTTTCTTCCGTCCCCGATGCCAACCCCTCCAGGTGGACAGCTTGCCGTACCAGTGGCTTATAGTGAAGAACAAGACGATCATTGCCCCCAAGAGTACAGAGGAGCAGAAGGTGTTGTTCATCCCTCCGCAGGCTGGCGTGTACCAGTGTGTCTTCAGCGTTTGCTCCTGGCCCGCATCAGCGGAGACGGAGGTCGCTGCCAGGGCCAACATCTTTGCTAAAAGGGTGGTGCTGTTTGCCATAGCAGAGAATCCTGCACTAGAGGTGGGAGCCGCTACTGAAGGACCCGCGAATGACATTTAAATATGTTGCATAGCACGTGGGACAGGATCTCAACTTCATTTTGATTCTCAGGTTGAAGTAAGCAAATCTGGCTGTCTGGATTTTGGAGACCTTCCTGGAGGCGGCGCCAAATCTCTTCCTCTCAAACTGCTCAACAGGACTCATGCCACAGTGCCCATCAGGCTGGTCATCAGCGCTGTGAGTCAACAGTGCTTTTCTGCCAGAGATGCACCAATTGCCTTTTTATTAGCCAAAGTCTGACCCGCCGATTCCAATTTTCTTTCTAAGAACTAATAGTTAGTAGCTTTTTTCACCAGCGTCCCACTCTATTTTATACTGCTGTGAAAACCTCTCCTTCACTCTATGTATTAATGTAGTTTATGACGATAAGCCTCAGCAGCATGATGGGAATGACTTACAATATAATATGTCTGATTTAATTCAGTTTTTTCAAAGTGAACACGTTTTATTTTGCAGTTGTGAAACATTGCAGAATCACAGAAATATATTTATCCGCTGCCGATCGATAAGTGAATCTGTAATTTCTACATATTCTTAAACATAATCTAATTCTAATCTAGGTTATCTAAACACTGGATTCAGTTGGTCCTACATCCGGCATAAATCTGGTCTTAACTCTGACTGAAATGGTTTTATAACAACTTGCTTTGCTTTGCAGCAGAAACACAGCAGTGAGCTTAATAAATGCTATCTGAATGGTTCACGTTTGACCTGATTTCTCCAGAACGCTACAGCTTGGCGATGCTTCACCTTTTCCACGCAGCCTGTCTCCGCTACATCTGAGGCGGCGCAGCAGGCTGGACACATGACAGCGGTACCCTCCCCCTCGGTGATGAATCACGTGATGCATGCCAGCTACGGAGAGGTTAGAAATCCTTAAAACATCCTTCAGCACCTCGGGTCACTGATATTATTTGAAGCTGCATGTATCTAAAGCTTGCTGAGGTGATTGTGGTATTTCACTCCAATGAGTCAGTGTTTTTGTTTGGTTTCTGAAGGAGAGGCAGAACATTAAGATATGGGTAACACTCTCACCTATTAAGCAGTGAATCTGGCTTCATCAGTCTCATGATAAGTTGTATTTATTTATTCTTTTTTTCAGAATCCACAGGGCTTCATGGTCTGGGTTCACTTCAAGGCCCCTCAGAAGTACACTGTTTCTTCAGGTAACCAACCTTACATCGACACTTAATATTTAGGCTAAAGTCAGCGGGGTGTGTTAACTATTTAATATGTCACTGAAGGTATAAAGTACAGTGTATGCTGTATGGGCAATTTCCAGGGGGAAATGAGTATTACTATTTTTAAAAATACAGTTTAAAAAGGAATATAGTCCAGAAACACAAGCAGTCACTAATTTAAATGTATGTATGTATTTATTTTATTATTATTTATGCACGTAGCATAGATGCGGGTAGAGGAGGTGCAACACCTCCTAAAACCAGGTATTATAAAAAACATCAAAGTTTAATGTTAGTGTCGTACACTAGTATTTGTGGTGGGAATGAGTATTTGCTTTGTCTTTTACCCCCTGAAGAGTTCAAACCATTTAGCACAAAAGGTAACTCTGATTAAATGCGGTACAGGCTATTTGCCTACATACAGGCATCCTCTCACTCCCTCTTCTCTTTGTTGCATCCAGTAACTTTTTTTTTTTTTCTCTGATAAAGAAAATCACCAAACAAAAGCTAGTCATTTGCTGCTAACACTAACTGCTTGTGGTTGTGCTCGTCAGGAGAGCTTGGTCCGGCAGATGAGTACAGTGCTCGGGTGGACATTGAAGTGGACTCTCCTGGTCCTAGTCATGTGATCAGGAGTATTCTCCTCAGGGCCAGGTCTGGAACGGCACGGGTCCATGCTCCTAAAGACCTGCAGGTACTCAATCGGCCATATGGCTATTTGTTTTTTCCGACTGATAGTGTAGCTCTGCACACAAATACATTATTTATGCCATGTGATGAGTAAGTCTTTGTAGTAGTGAGATAGAGCAGCTGGTTTTCTATTGGCCAATCAAATGTAACTGACAAGTACTGTACCAGCACAATGTATATTTGAAGAAAAAGAAAAAAGTAGGTCAAACAAAAAAATGGAAGAAGAATACACGGGGACTATTGTCATTAGCAGTGACCAACTTAGACAAGCTAAGCTACGCTAATCAGTAGTGTTGCAACGGCCCGTAGTTGATCCGTGATGTGTTCTGTTGGGGTGGTTGAAATCATGTCAAACATCAACAAATGCAAAAGAACATCATCAGGGCAGCTCTGACAGTTTCATTCGTCCTCCTTTTTTATCTGCTGATCCGATCTGTGACGCAGTCGATCGTAGTTTACTTCACAGCGGGCAGATGAAGAATGAGTCTTGAATTTGCAGACCGCTTTAACCCTCGGCCATTTTTAAAGTTCATGTCAGCACACACAGCCCAACTGTGAAAAGTTAACCTGATGGGATGCAGAACTTTTTGAGGTACATCATCATGTTTCATTCCTTGTTAAACTTCCCGTGTCCTCTGAAGAGTTTTTGTGCTACTTCTGTCTAGACTGTCAGCCTGTCTGCTCCAGCGGGTAAATCCAGTCAACAGACGCTGCCATTGAAGAACGCAGGAAACATTGACGTGCAGCTGAAGCTCAAGGTAATTCTGACCTTTTACGTTTCCTATTAGATCTGGGTAAGCCTCTGTGACATTTTGGGCTCAGACTGTGGCTCATGCAGTGGGGATTCAATGATATTTCGCTCCTGTTTTTCTTGTTTTCTCAATTTAGTGCTGGACAATGTGGCCGAAAACTCTAATCTCAGATTTTTCAACATCACACCACGGTTCTTGTTAAAAACAAACTAGGCCGACAAAGGAATTATTAACTTTCATCAAACTTCACTTCAAAAAGAAAAATGAGTTGGAGATGTTTCTTTAAAAAAATGCATTCCATCCCTGAAGAACAACACTTTTTTAAACGAGATTAAACACGTTAGCATGTTGGATGCCATTCTATTCACATCAGCCTTAACCATGGTGGTTGTGTAATTACCCGAGTTAAAGAGTCCTAAACTATTCAGATGAATTGATGAAATCAATTTATGCCCAGCTCTATCTATTTATGTAACGTCGTTTTCCTCCTTGTTGCCTCCCAGCGTTTCTTTGCTGTCTTGTCCATAGGTTTGCCCTCTTCTTCTCATTGTCTCTCATTCATTCCTGTTTAAAGGGCAGCGATGCTGAGGACAGTTTCTCCGTGACACCTGATGAACTGTCTCTGCGAATGGGAGAGGAGCAAAGCATCGTGGTGTCCTTCAAAGCACAGGCCAGCAGGAAATGTCGAGAAAGGTATCCAAACATTTAGTGTGTGTGTGCGTGCGTGTGACACCACATTTCAAATGTGCATAATGGTATCTTAAGATGTGTATGACATACTTGAGACTGGTGAAAAGAAACACAAAACTTAAAATGTGTAACTGTTTTTGTTAATAGAGTTTAACATAAATGCATACTTAATGAAAAATGCTCGACCACTACTTGTGATGGACTCTGTTGTGCTGGTTGTGTTGCAGCCTTCTCACCATCCTGGTGCTGCCATCGGGTCCTCAGTATGAGGTAACCCTGAGAGGAGAAGTTGTCCCAGAGGACTCTGGGAAACCTGCCATTCCCTCTGCTGCCGTCTTTGGTCCCGGCGTTGCCGATGACGTTCCTCCAATTCTCTCCAACAAGCAGTTCGTAGCCTGGGGAGGGGTCACTCTGGGACGAGCTGTGTAAGCAACTTTTCATTTCCTCATTCATTTCACCTTTACTTGGTTGCAGGAGAAAAAACAACAACTTTTTTTTAGTTATCAATTATTCATTGGAAAGTAATCAATAAAAAAAAAGTCACGGCCCGATGGGCCTTCTTATTCTATTAGGGCTTGTATAATGTTATTCATGAGAAGGGACAGAGGGTCTCTACAGGGAGTGTTATTTCTCAGAAGCTATTTCAACATAATGCTCAATTCTATTTTGAAGGGAGGTAAAGTACAGACAGCAGTAAGAAGGCTGAATTCCCCACAGAATGGATGCATTCTTTAAAGGTTTAACTGGACGCAGGGTTGACTTGAAGTAGGACATTGAGATAATGACTCGGTCTCAATTCAAAGTTTTTCAAAGGCATCGAGTTTGACACAGAACTCCTTCACACTAACTTTTGTCACATAATCAACGGTGGCCATTGTTTTCCAGCCAACAGAAGCTGGTTCTCAGGAACAACTCGAGCCACTCCACACAGCAGCTGCGGCTGCTTATTCGTGGTCAAGACCAGGACTGTTTTCAGGTAGGTTGTAATATTTGCACTTCTCGAAAACATCTCATCTCAATTCTTCCTTGTTCGGAGCGTCCTCACATGGTGTTTTGTGTGTTTTCGACTCCCTGCTAGGAATCACATGCAGAGTTTCATTTCCACAGTGCGTTGTTTGTTATTCAGCGATCCACTGCAAGCGTTTGTGACCAAAGCTGGCTTTATTTAATCAGGATTTTCTTTGTTCAACCGACTGGACCGCACAGACACGTGTAGCTCGAACCAGATAGGAAAGGTGAATACAGCCGAGCTGAATACATTCATGTGGCATTAAAGGAGTACTGCACCGAATAGCATTGCATTCCTATAACATTGCTGGACTCATGATGGACCATTTTAAGTAATTGTTTTAGCCGAACCAGAGACGTTGTCTTTTTTCATTCTGTGTATTCTTCTTCTTTGAGACTCGATCACAGATGAGAAGTGGCCTACAGAGGTCTGCATCACTTCTACTTTATTTTCATATTCAAACAAGTAGTCTTTAACACCACCCAAAGCTAACGCAAATAGTGGTGGAAACAGAAAACTGTGGAAACCTGCATTCTCTCTAGTGTCCTTCAGGGGGCGACTCCTCTGGTTGTATAGAAGTCTATGAGAAAATGACTCTACTTCTCTCTTGATTTATTACCTCAGTAAACATTATAAACATGAGTTTATGGTCTCAATCTCTAGTTTCAAGTCTTCTTCAATACAGCATGATGTTCATTTAGTAAATGATGGTCCATTTAGAGTCAAACGGACCATAAAGCAGGGTATGCTTTAGGGCGGGGCTACCTTGTGATTGACAGGTCAGTGCTGCTACCAGAGCCGTATCAGTCTACTCTACGTCACTCCTCCGCATTCCAAATATGGTCACTTCTGTTCATTGGCAGCAAATAAAACAACATGGTGACGGTCGTAATCCAAGATGGTGACGGCAAAATCGCAGATCTCTGCGCTTCGAAACGGCAGTCCACAAAACAATGTGTGACGTCTCAATGACTAAGTCCACTTCTTATCGACAGTCTATGCTCAAGTGACATCATATGAGACAATTTATCAGACTCCACACAGCTCCCTCCGGAGCCACACAAGGCTTCATACAACTGTTTTCAGAAAAGACGAGTTCTCCCCAAAACCTGTAAGCCGACTTCGATGTGTGAAATCAGTGGAGTTCCCTTTTAAGGGTCTTATTTATTTATTTATTTTACTTTCTCCTGACCCTTTTGCAATTGATATACCATCTAATAAAACCATGAAGCATTTGTTGAAGATATAAAGTATATACACTTTCTTTTTTTTTTTTTCCCCTCCCTCAGCTCCAGAGCATGTTCAGTCTTGAAGAGCGTCTGACCCGACACGGGGAGCTGTCCATCCGTCCCAGAGAGGACGTGACCGTCCACCTGCTCTTTGCTCCCACCAGGGTGGCGTGCATGTTGGCCAAGCTGGAGATCAAACAGTCTGGAGTCCGGCCCTCTCAGCCCGGGGTCAAATTCACTGTGAGGATGTCACCGTTTGTTCCCACCTTGATCTCTGGCTTCTTTCTCTGTAGTCTGCGATCTCTTTGCATTGTCTCACTTCTGACTCTTTTCTTACCTCGTTTTTTAAAATGATTTCTATAGAAAGAAATGGACTTAAGTTTAAGTGGGCTCCTATATTTCCCCATCCTCAGATTCCTCTGTCGGGCTACGGCGGGACGAGCAACATCATCCTGGAGGACCAGAGGAAGCAAGCAGACGGATACGTGGCAACGCTGAGCGGCATCGCCGTCAGCCGCGTCAGCAAAGTGTGCCTGTGCGTGAGGAACACGGGCTCCAGAGCAGCGTACATCAAAGCCGTGGCCTTCTCCGATGTGCAGACACGATCGGTCATGGAGCCCTCTGTCATCAGCCTGGCCCCGTCACAGTTTGTACTGAAGGAAAGGACGCAAGAGGTAGAAGTATTATGATAACACAACAATATAGCGATAAATACAGACTTTCCCTTCATTTAGTCTTATAGCTATCTATAGCTACTTTTCTTTAGAAAGCTCTGATTCTTATGCATCTTGTCCTTGTTGCTAATACTGTTTGTGTGTGTTTCCAGGTGATCACTGTGCTAATGAAGTCCACCCAGAGAGAACAGGCCCTGTGTCAGTCGGCCAATGCACTGCTGGCTACTGTCTGTCTGTTTTGTGGAGATGAGGTCTCCAGGCAGCAGTATAGGAGGTGAGACCTTCCAACGCAGTTTGCTTTTATGCTGTTAAAGTTGTAATGCAGGGAGTTGGTAGTCAATTATAGCTGATAATTAAATCTGACCCGTCCTAATCAAAGGTTTATTACAAAGCTCTGATGTAACCAAAATGTCCTTTTGCATTGTATCAGTTTGCTCCGTTCACCACGACAGCACTGTTCTGTGTGTCATGGAAAGTTAAGTGGAGACACTCCAGGTGTATAAACATTGTTTTTGATACGCTGGTCAATTGTAAGATTTCAGGGCCGTTTAGTGTCATAACATCTTTCAGACTAGTGGGAAAGAAAACATTCAGGTTTTTATTTTACTACTCTGAAAGAAGAAGACATTTCTTTTTTTTTACCCAAACCACATGCAGTATTTTCAAAATGTTTGGAATTCCACAACTCATTTCTTTAAAGGCAGTTCTCTGAATCCTAAAAAAACAGGGTGAAAGTTATGTCTGTTGTATTTTTGCTGATTTATAGAGCGATACAAAGAGATATTCAAAAGTCCCTCAGTAAAACCGTTGACTCAAATATGTCTCCAAAGTGAAACAAGAATTTTTATCCTGGCTTTATCCAATGTTTAGATGTCTGCAAATTAACACATATGTGGTAAGACAATACCTAATTTATATATTTAAACAGATTTTCAGAAAACTTATAATACAAAACAAGATAATGGTTTTAATGATAGACGTCAGCATGAAACGGTCAAAGTGGATTACTATTAGTTTTTTCATTTTTCGTCTCTTCACCTTTATTGCCTTCACTGTTTCCAAAGAAAACATGTGCACTTCTAACCTGGTTGTACCAATGCAGTAAGAACAATGCAGGTGAACTGAAGCAGTTGACGTTGATCAATTCTTTTATTTTCTAATTTCCACAATAAGATCAAAAACAAGTATTGTCTCTGGTCAGCTTTGTAATGCACAAAGCAGTATTTGTGTGATGCACCTGCCTACAGATGACTTGTATGCTGTTATGTATAATAATAGAAATCTTTAAAAGTGCTGATTTTATAAATCTGATTCCAGATAGCTGTGCTTTTGTCTTCTCAGATTGCTTCAGAGTAAACCTGAGGCTGTGCGGAAGGCTCTGTCTGAAAACAGTCTGAAAAACATCAACTTCAATGAGAAGTTCCTGGGAGAGGACATCGTCACAGAGAGTAAGATGTCCAGATAATGCTCGTCAAAAGATATGTTCAGTCTCCTCCTAAAATAAATAAAGCTGAGTCGGCAACCCTGTTCACTATGACCTCTCAGCTAATACTAAAAGGTAATAATGTGCAAAGTTTTCACATGCTGATTAATTACTGAAAAGTGATTCGTACCCAGCAGTCAGTTCTTCAAAGCTTCTATATCTGATGCTCTATATACGCTGAGGTTGGCGAACCAGTTACTATACATGTACAGGGAATGTACTGGAAATAGCAGATTCAGTTTAAATAGGGTTGTTGGAGTACATGTCTCAAATATTGGTGTCTCTGTAATTCTCCACCTGTTCTGTAGCCTACGACCTGCCCCAACGGCCCAACGAGGCTCACATTTTCTACGGAAACATGAGCAAGGTAGTGGTGTCGTTGCTGGGAGGCACGAAGAGCACGGCCGCTGAGCAGAGTGACCACACTGAGCTGCTGCTGCCCTCTTCCAGACACCGTCCAGAGACACACAGGTACTGTCCCACTGGCTTCTAACAGGCAATGTAATCCGACACAACACATCCATTCATCACAACACTTCCATTAGTCTTTAATCAGTATTGTAATGCATTTCAGTAATTCTACTTTAAAGGAATACATAACGGATTAGGAAGCAAAGAGGTCTCTTGTGTATCAATGACTCGCCCCGTCTTTCCTCGAACTCTTGGAGAAAACGTTGTTGTTTTTTCTCGCATGTCTTCACGGTGAACAGACAATCAAACTGAATCAATGGGGGCTGCTTTTAACAACTGTAAAGGGGGGTTTTGATACAGTTTTACTAACTCTCACACAAAACGTGCAGTACAAGCCAAGTCTCCTGTATCCAGTCGTATGCTCGCTCCTTTCTATACATAACACTGAAGCATAAACAAAAGTGCTCTTCACCAATATGAGGTAACGCAAAGAGACTAATTGATGAAGTGTTCCTTTTTAATGCGCACACTGATTATGTAAAAAGAAATGCTGTCAGACTGTAGGTCTGTACATGTTTTTAAAGTGAGCACATTAAATGAAATGCATCATATTAGACGCAATGTACCTTTTAATGTTGTGTAATACCCAGCAGCTTGGCCAACGGCAATGTGTCTCTGGACGTGCTGCCGGTGAAAGGTCCCCAAGGTCCAGCACTGAGAGTGGCAGATCCCTCCTTAAAGGTACCAGAAGCTCCTCTGTAATGGACTTTGATGGTTTCATTGTGTTCAGTAATGAGATGCTGCTTCTGCTGGATGAGATGTAAACATTTCTTACACTGCATTTGACATAAACAAAGAAAATACTTCTCAATGCAGAATGCCTCTTTTCCCTCCAGGCTTCAGAGCCATTGCACAGGCAGTCTGAGTCCTGGACCATCCACCCAGAACAACTTGTCCTTGCAGCTCCCACCATCAGTGAGTGGAATCTAGATTACAAAAGCCCGTTATGTGCCATTAGATCACCTTAGCTTTCTATTAACTACAGATTTTGAGTATGGTTGAACAACCCCTGACCCTTAGGTGAGTGACACGGCGCCCGATGAGGAGCCAGCAGCATGAATTTCTTTTGTTGCTGTTTTCAGACGGCACAGCCAGCACCAGTCAGGTTCAGATCCGGAACAATACATCCAGAGAGCTGAGCTTTGATTTGTCCTGGCCCGCTCACTGCCTCACCATCACCCCTCAGCATGGAGTTATCGAGCCCCAGTAAGAACATACGTGCTTGTGGTTTCATTTGCATTGTCCACACTGTATAGGTGATACCATACGCTAAATGTTGACAGCTTCATTTGAGGTGTATGTATGTAACCGGGGCAGTGCAGCCCTTCACAGCTATCGTCAGCACAGCTACACTAAAGAACAATTACAGGAAGGAAGTCCCGTTCTGATGTGATCCTAATCTTATGTGACTGTGTGTATATATGATTTTTATTAATCCACTTGTGTCCTGTTTCTTTATTAATGTTAAACAAGGTGCCACCTGCAGATTTTGATCAGTCCCAACCCTTCACTAGCAACGAAGTCTACCCTGCTGCCGTGGAGCGGACAGATTTATGTCCAGTGTGACAGTCAACAGAAGGTATGGGACACTTAAGACATTCAGCTTTTCAAACCTCCAGTCAGTCAGTCATCTTGTCATGTGCTGTGAGAGCTGAAAGGGATGATTTTGGTTGTATGAAGAACCAGTCGGTGTATTGGCTACAGTAGCTGACACACAGGAGCAAAGAAATGTGCTGCTGTGGATGGTTTAGGTGTCTGCTACATTTAGAATAGTTTCACCGCTTTGCGTTGCTGTCAGACAGACCTCACTGATGATGTCCATGCTTTTTATCAAAAACGTCAGATTTTGTTTAGTATTTTCTCGGATGGATATTTTTATTCTTTCTTAAAAACGTTTGATTATATTTATTGTATTATGTCTTTTTATATCTGCAATTGATTAATTTTTTCTTTTATGGCGCCTCCCAACAAAACCATTTCACACAATTGTACTTAAACCAGGGTAACAATAAGCATATTGTATCTTGAAGTCACACAAACTAACCAACCAATCAAGCCAGTGGTTTAGGTGTCTAAAATATGTTTTGCTGTCCCCGTCCACATCGTCCACATTGCTTTGCTCTCGTGCTGGTACTTCCGGCTGTTTCTCCAAACTGGGGACCTGCCGACCGACATCAACTGCAACTAATACACCGACTATGGAAAAGAACCTCATACAACCACACCAGAACAAAATCCAAACTGTCCCTTTAACGAGAGCTAAACGTGTGCATTGTGACCACTGGTTCAGTTTATTAAGGTCCAGATTCGCGGGGACCTGGCTCTGGATGTGTCCGCGACCCCAGCAGACACCACCCTGTCAGCCCTGCCTCCTCAGGCTGCCACCCCGGTGCTGCCTGTGGCCAGGCTCGCTGCCAGGCCCTCGCTACCTCCGCAGGCCCCTCAAGCCCTGGTGGAGATCAGCAACAAGACCATCATGTTCCCCACCACCCCCTCAGGGGAAACATCAGGTGAACAGGTCACTGACCAGAGGACGGAGGTGTCTCTGGTCATACACATTTTCATCTAGAAGCCTAAAATCTTCACACTGATGTGGTTTTAAGTCTCACTTAATACACTTCACTCTCCACCTTTTGTAACTTGAGGCCCACTGTTGGTTGTTTAAAAAAATACAAGGACCACCTTCTCAAATCAAATCGAATAAATGATTATAAATAAGAAACATGAGAAAGGAGGAAATATAAACTGTGCTTTAAATATGTGTTACGCCACTGTCCGCTGTAGGGACCAAAATATATTATGAATCCTAATTTTATGTATTCATGGTCTTTCCTCACCGCATGCTTTGGCACTCTTACTGGTGCAGCGTTGTCTCCCACAAAAACGATCCATTTTGTGTCACTGCATCCGACGGAATGTTAGCCAGCTAACGTCAAATCACCTTTGTGATCACCTGATGTGTTGTCATATTTAAACCTCACTGGTAATTGAAATGGAGCATTTTGATTTGATGTCCGATATTCATGTTAACTCTATATTTAGATATCAAAATAACTAGCTTTGTAAATTGGCAAAAATTGAGATTTTTAATGTAATCAAACCGTTTAGCAGTAACTCCTCAGCCCGGTAGATGGTGCTCTGCCGCCCACTGTTTGAGAATATCTGCTCTAGGTAGGTGTGTGTGTGTTCCTGTGGGAGACTAAGACTCTGCTCCTCTACTTCAGAGGCTCAGCTGGAGGTGCAGAATGGGGACGGTGAAGTGAGGTGGTACCTATCATCATTTGCTCCTACATATGTCAAGGTGCTTTTCTTTTTGTATTATTATTATTATTATTCTCTCTTTCTTCTGTCATTCTGTTTACCGTTCTTCTCTTTATTATCTGTACTCGGAAATCAAAAGATTTTCTTTGTTTTGAAGTTTAGTTCCAACTTCACTAAACTCTCCTCTTGTCTCTTGACTCACTTTATTAATGGATTTATTCTGTAGCTTTACATGTGGCCCGTTGAGTGGCGGCAGTGACTCGGGTCAAGCTGTGGTCTCTTCTCTCTCTCCTCAGGGCGTTGACAACACGGGAGACGTCTACCGGGCCACTTACACTGCTTTCAGATGCTCCAGGATCTCAGGCGCTCTGGGAGCTTATGAGAAGATGCAGGTAGGCAGGGAACAGCCGCCCGTGCTCCGTTAAGTTAAGGTTAGACTAACGGATCAAAATAGTCTGCCTACCGGGTCCACATATAAACACACATTTTCAGGGCATCTAGGTTAATAGATTAACATCACCAATAGCTAGAACACAGTCATAATTAAAGACACACCAGTATTCACTTTATGAACCCTGTTGATTTTCTTTCATGGCGTTTGGTTGTTGGTCCAGCTTCTGTGGCATAATTCATTGTTTGTTTATTGTTTATAGGTTTGTTTTTTTTTTTGTTTTTTTTCCTTCTTGTAAATTTTAGTTTCTCTGAATATATCCACCTCTAATATGCTGTCGTGAACCAAAATCCTTTCTACCACCTATTTACCTGAATGGCTCTGTTCCATTTAGGTCTGTTAGCGCGCTAGATAGACTGTACACAGCACCAAGGCCTTGGAAGTGGTACATCTAAATAGAATGCAGCCATTGTTTTAACTGACCAGTCTAAACACTGTGAAGAGGGCCTGGAGAATTGAACCGCTGGTGTTTTAGTCTGTTTTTCCGGGGCAACCGCACTTCACCAAATCCCATCTTGTTTGCAGCACCTTGTCAAGCCAGTGCCTCAAAAAGTTCAAGCAAAACTGTGTTCCGTTGTGAAAACTGCTATGAAACATTCTCTGAGCTAATCTATGCCTTTAGAAAGATCTAATTATAAGCTATAGTTGCTGTATATTCCACCTGAACACCTTGCAGCAGTAAAACTATATCGAGTTATGAGGCAGTTGGTGAGTTAGATTTTCGTGGAGGTCAGCCTCTGAAAACGTAAACGAGTACAACAATCATTTATACGGTGAAATCCAGTCAGTGTGATTGTTTTCTCTGATTCTCTTGCTCTCCCAGGTGCCCATTACTTTCCTGCCCAGGGACAGAGGGGACTATGCCCAGTTTTGGGACTTGGAGTGCCACCCTGTGTCTGAGCCCCAGCAGAAAACCAGAATCCGCTTCCAACTCTGTGGCACTGTGAGGACTCGAACACTGTACTACATAGAGCACATAGTCTTTCAGAGTTTTAGTTTTACTATAATCACTGTTTTCTTATTTGCTCTCCTTAAAGGGTTAGATAGGATTTTCTGAAGTATGGTTGTTTGAGGTTCTTATCCATAGTCGGTGTATTAGCTACAGTCAATGACAGCCAGCACGGCCCAGTCTGGAGAAACAGGAGTTCCAGTCTCAAGTAAAGCAATGTAGTGCTGTGAAAACATCTTTTTAGACACCAAAAAAATCTATTTCATTTCAGTGTACGGTATATTTAAAATGTTTTCTCCGCTTTATCTTGCTTAAGACAGCCTGACGAGGAAACTCTTAGCCGTTATCAACGCTTTCTTCAACTAACCAGACTCCTTTGACAAAAAGAGTAAATTTACCTCACAGAGCATGGCCGTTGTTGGTCTAAATATGCCTCGATCGCTTAGTTTGTTTGTGTTATTGTGTAACTGATGTTTTTAAAGGGCACGTTCGGATTCAACAAAGTCTCACAATAACACAAACAAACTAGCCAATCAAGGCAGCGGAGTAGCAGCATCCCCTGTGTGCTTGGGAGGTAAAATGACTGTTTTGGGCAATAGAGTTTGGTGGGTTCTGAAGCTTGAGTTCCCCATCGGGTACACTTAAACCGAGTATTACTACAGTCTAATAAAGAACCTCGTAGAACCCCACTACAAAAACTTCAAACTTTAACCATGCTTTATCTCACCCTTACTGAAGTACATCCTTCGTTCCTTTACAATGTGAAGCAGAAATGTCCAAATCTACATTTATCTTCCATATTTATCAGACCTTCTGTTGAACTAATCACTATTTAACTTGTTTCAGTGTTTTACAGCAGCTCATATGGTAGTGTAGTACCTTGACTGTGGCTTTGTAGTGTTACAGAATTAACAAATGAGAGAAGTGGGTTGTGGGATGGTAAGGAGAGCCCCCCCTCCCCCCTGCTGAGACGGGGCCCCAGGCTTTGCGTGTGTGCCGCTTTAATGTGAAGTGTTATGACAGACCCAGTTAACTTAAGAGCATACATACACAGCGAGTGGGATGTCTGATAGATGGCTCCACATAAAGCAGGTTAAGTGGCTGCGATGGTGGTGCTTTTGTTGTCGCTGTATTTCTTAGACGCAGCGTTTATTAAAAAAAATTAAAAAAGTGCCAAATCCCGCGGTGGTGTTAAATGCTAATCTGTGGCTCTGGTTCTGCGAGGCTTTGATTCAGATATGCGCCCGTCAGTCTGATGTGGAACTAAAATGGGTGTGATGTGTTTCCCATCTAGTTCTTAATCATGTCTGCAGTAGATGTAGCAGTGCATGATTTACTTGAAAGATGTTTGCATGCGTTTCTTCCAACCAGCTAGTTTTGAAGCTGAATGGAGATTATTATTATTTGTTTTTTGAACTTACTAGCCGTGATCTTAAAGATTTGTCTGTGTGTCTAAAGGGTATGAAGTCTGGACCAGTGGAAGGACCACAGGAAGGAGACTGCTCTCTGGTGAAGACTGAGGCCACGGTCAAGACCCGGAAGAGGGCTGATGCTTCGGCAGGCAAGACCAGGTGAGACCCGGGTTACAAGCGCCCCCCCACTCTCTAATATCTATTTGTGTTGCTGTGAAAACAACTGGATTTGGTCAAGTTTCTCACCATCACTGCATTTTACGAGATCACATGTGAACACATCATCACGTTCTAATTCACCTTCGCATCCAGTACTCAATAATTCAAAGTCATTTATGTTTTGTCCTTATTTTAAAGTCGACGTTCTTTAAAAGAGTTTAGTGTACCGTAGCTTGTGTTTTCTAGCAGGTGTCTCACCTTCAAGTGCTGCTTGTGCTCTCTGTTAAAACACATTTTCTGCCTTTCAGTCAGGAGGAGGCGGTGAGGAGGGGTGTGTACTCCCCACAGGACCTCTACACCTTCCCGGCCACGCGGACGGGAGAATCCAGCACCCTGAAGGTCAACATCCGCAACAACTCGTCTGACACGCATGAGGTGAGGCCCGCCTTATTCTCGGGAAGACACGGGGAGGACAAACGTTTGCTTCCTCACTTTGGTCCAATGTATACAGAACAAGATGAGCTGAGTTAAAGCAAGGTTTTAAAAGAAATCCTTTTAAGTTTCTGGACATTTTTATCTCTGGGTCAGTGTACAAAGAAGATCTTAGCTCACATTGTTTCATTTCATTCAATATCGCCAATACAAATTGCACGACTGTCTTGTCTTTTGTTGTACTAAACGATGAATGTAATAAGTCCTAACGATTGTCATTGGGCTTTGCATGGATTTGGTATTTGATGTGTGGCTTCTCTAATTGACTTGCAGCTGAAATTTGTAAACCCTACGGAGCCCTTCCACATCAAGCATTCCAAATATTCCCTGAGGTGAGTCCAATGGTCCTTATCCCAGACTCTCTCTTGTTCTACACTCTTGATGGTAGCTGGATGACACATTGGGAAGATAACTCATGCCAACTTCTGTTTTTCTTTGTTGCTACGCTTCCATTTTAGGTTATTTTTTTGTGCTCTACACAGATTTCTCCCATAGGTCTAAGTAGCTAGATAATCATGTTTAGGCAGATATAGGACACACAACTCTAGACGTGCTCTGTGCTGTAACGTAGAGTGTGTCGTTGGCCCGTTGCGACCGCTCACTGCGGGAGACGCTGGGACCCGGAGGACGTTGCTGTATGCGGGGAGCACTCAAGACCTCGGAGACCTGGTGTTCCCTAACTGAGGCCTGTGGGAGGGGGGTTGCCTGGCCACCAGTCGTGCTCTGCCGATGAGGAACTGTGTTCAGAATGAGCACAGCATGTGTTTTCGTGTTGTTGAAATCGGAATAACAATGTGGTGGGAAAAAATAATATACATCGAACTTTATTCACTTCCTCGACAAAAGCGTTGTTGGACATACTGTTTGTGTGTCATGACTTTTTGTATCTCCACTGTGTGTTTGCCTGAACCTGAGCCAGCCCTACAGCAGGTGTGTTGTGAGGCCCACCCACCCAGCATGTTGTGGCTCTTGTCATGTACTCTCATTACCGTGGACCCCCCCACCGCCCCGCTCATTTGTTATGCTGTAACATTTTGTGTGCGTGTGGATTTCTTTTTCTCTCTGTATTGGGGCTATTTTTTGTTGTCCAGCACAGGGGTGCCATTATTACATTTTTTTTATTAGTGTGCCACATCAACATCAAGGTAACATTTAAAAATGCATTTTTCTCCAATAATCAGGACATTATTATACATTATACAAGAAGACTGACCTCTTTATGAAAGCATCCTCATCTGATTGAAGTCATTAACCCTACCGACCTTCCACCAGCAATAAGCTTAACAGAAATCAACTCCAGTACTGTAAATGACGGGGCAATTCAACGTTAATAAAAAACCTGTCTTGCACGCGTATTGCTCGAGTGCCACAGATTTAAGCTGCATGCTGTAGGTCGCCTACCGCTGGTCCAGCATGTCATGGTTCATAAAGTGCAATCCCAAGTACTTTATTTTAGTTTTATGTGAAAATGCATGTTTGTTGTGTAATCATGCTCAACATTTCAAATTGAAATCCTTTTTTGTAACTATCCATCTGTTGACCGTCGTTCTTCTTTGCCACCCATTAGGTCGCAGCACTATCTGAAGCTGCCCGTTCACTTCAAGCCCAGTACTGCAGGCAGACACGCTGGCTTGCTGCTCATCCAGTCGGAGACAAGTGGAAGTCTTGTTATTCAGCTGACCGGTGAGGCACTGCCTTGAGTCTAACATCCTACTCCACCTCCTCATGCTGGCTGGCTCTGGGTGGACGAGAGCACCAAGAGAGGAAAACTGCAAACGGCTATGGATCAAATGAAAGCCTTGAATCTGTCCTATATCTACAGCTCTGGAGATCTACTTAGTGGCTGTTTGACTGGAGAGGACTTGAGACTCTACTGCCAACACGCCCCGTCTGCTTCTGGATGTGGCACAGGTGTCCTCAGCTGGCTCGCAAAAAAAAAAAAAAAGAAAGAAGTTTGCATCCCGTTTTGGCACCCGAATGATTTGGTCTGGCTGGCTCAGAATTAGTCTGCACGGCTCTGACATTTCACAGAGCTAATGATTTCTGTCACTTTACTCCGGATCTGGTGTTGGCCTCGTCCCAGAGTCGCGTCACAAGGCAGCGTTGTTGTCTCCACGGCCGCTGTCAGACGGTGCCAGTCGGGATGCGTTGCTTTGAGTTGGTCACACACGAAGGCCTTTTGCTCTGGGGATTTTTTTTGTGTCTCGACCCTGATTAAGACTACATGAGATTTAAAGACTCCCTTTGTTGTTTTTTGTCTACATTTGATAACATTTCCCTAGTCTTCAGTGCCGGTGTGGTTTCTATGGAAATGGCTCCTCTCTCGGAGGCCACCTGCACAGTGGCCTTTGTCGACGGAGCCACGTGTTGACTTCCCGGCAACCTCCCAGGCTCGTTTCCAAGCGGTCCAGATGTACTTGATTTAGTCTGGATCGCTGCGGCTGCATTAGGATGGATAATGATTGTTATTACGTGCTAACAGAGTCTCCTTCTGGTGGGGTTTTTGTTCGGCAGCTCGCCAGGCCCGCTTAGTATGGTTACCATGGCAAAACGGTGTTAATCACCGTTCCAGTCACAGAAAATTACCTCCCCGCTTCCTATTTTGGCTCTGGGGCAAATGGCCAAAATTGCTTGGGGGAGGGGGGGGTTTATTGGATTCGCATCATAATTATTTTTGGAGCTAGAATATCATGGGGAAGCACACGTAAACTTCATCAAGGATGTGTTGTTAACCTGTTAGGTACCAAACGCTGTGGCAACAGCATTGTAGAGCATTGTAGAGCTCCTAGTAGAGCAGGTTCTGATATGAAGGCAGTGTGTTGTCACAGGCTGCTATCCTGACATACTTGGATACACAATTTGCACATGCTTTAAATAGTATATAATGTAATATATTGTATGTACACATTTTAAATAAAGTTTTGTGATAAATAGCTCGGCTGGCTTTCATCGTGGGAAAGTTGTCAGCAATGTGTTTGACAGGTAGCTTTCTATTCATAGCGTCGGTGTTTTTGCTCTATGATGGGTGTCCTGTGTGCAGAGCTGTAAATAAGAGATGAGGATGAAATGGGATTAAACCAGCATTACGTTTTGATGGCATGCATACATGGTGATAATAATGAACTTTATTTATATAGCACTTTTCTTAACATTACAAAGTAGTTCACAACAAGAAGGGGGGAAAAAAACAATAAAACCGTGATAATGAAATGCAATAAAGCTCACATAAATTGCAATGAAATAATAATTCACAGAGAATCTCTTTTTAGAGGAAGAATCTTTTTAAGAAGAGATTTAAAAGTAGTGGTGGGTTAAGCAGACCTGACCTCAGCAGTTCCAGAGTTTGGGGGCCCAGACTGCAAAAATCTGATAGCCCTTAGTCAGCAGTCGCGCTCCGGGAAAATGCTCAGAAGGCCACTATCGGCTGATGGAAGAGGGCACACACAGGCTCTAAAGGGGTTAGCGGGTCTTTCATAACGCGCAGCATATAGTTGCTGGCAGTGTAACAGAAGAAGTGAGACTGATGTTGCTCCTGCACCGTCTGTCATGAAGTCCATCCCAACATCAAAGCACAGACTGATATATTCTATTTAAGGTTCTATTAAATTACTTTAAATTCCTGTGGTCTGCCTCTGCTTTACATTTAAAATCTGTTAACTCCTTATTCTGCACCAAAATACTGGAACAATCTCCCCCCTCAGTATCTATAGACTAGAGTAAAGAATTATATTACCAATGGTTTTAAGCTCTATTTAGTTTTATTTCTGTTTGGCAACTCCCTGAAATTGTATGCTACTGTATTATGTTACTGTATTTGAATCAATGGGAAGAACCACCTATTTAAACCATTTGCTGAACTGCTTCCAACACCGGAGATGCTGTCAGCGCGTCTCTGAGCCCTGAGACAGAGATGAGGTGTCACGCTTTTAACCCGTGCGGCTGCTATATGGAACGAGACCTGCAGGTGTCGCCAAAGCTTCATCCTCAGCTCGCGCTGTACAGTGGAGTAGGGAAGCTGAGCTTTTATTTTGCTTCCCCAGACTGGAATCCACTGTAGTGCAGTTGGACTTGACGTCTAGCGACACAACATCAGACTTTAAAGCAAGCAGACGCGGCGGCTTAGCGCGTCAGCGACTGCGTTTACAGGTAGGGACTGCCTGCGACATGCTCTCCCCCCCCCCACCCCCCAACAGTTATTTCTGTACGTGTGTATTTTTTAAATGCATAATGCTGTGGGCGGCTGGGGGAACGTTGTGGTTGTGCTAGCTGGTGTGGCTAAACGCTAGTCTGGGCTGACCGGTGTCCGGGGGGGTTGAAGTTGCGGTTTAGGAGTTGAAGCTGCTTTCCAAGCTGCGCCAGGAAAGCAGAGCTAAGCTAACGTGGGGCTAAATTGGCAGCAAGCTGGCAAGCCCTGGCTCCCATCCATTTGCAGGGGCCACAGCACCCAGTCCGCCCCCCCCCCCCCCCCGTCGGGTACCGCTCCCTCCACCCCCCACTGACCGTGATCTCCGTGTTAACTGTACCGTTTATGCCCCCCCCCCGAGTAGAAACAGACGCGAGTGTGTCGTCAGCTGCCCCTGTTTTGAGTTGATGAACAAGCTAGCTGGGAGGCTAGATGAGACACCCAATACCCCGAGCTGTCTGTCACTCGTGTCTTAAGACAAGGGGCTGGCCAGCCGGCGTTTTTTATGCAAATAAGGCACGCGGTGCATATGATGACGCGGTGTCACCAAGTGGTTTCACCTGCGGCGAGTTGGTGCAGAGCTGTGTGTGGTGTTAAACTCTGTAAGGGGGGTTGAGGACCACAGTGATAACATCCATCCTCTCATCATGCTCATTAAAAAGGTTACCCATAATACACCACTACACATGTCCCTCTCATACAGGAAAACTGTAGAGAGAGAGATCTCAATCGATCATCTTTTAAGATGAGGAGGAGGATGTGGGTAACACTGTCCCCATCGTTTATGTAGATGCAATTTTTTTTCCAAAATTGACCCTCGACACTTTTCACATTGTCGAGATGAATTTGATTTAGCAAACACTCCGTCTTACCAATGCCACGTCGCAGACCCAAAGTTCAAACATGACAGTAACATGAATACATGTGACACCATACTGTGGCAAAGCACTCGTCCCACTGATCGGGTTTACATCAATTTGATTGCTGACTCTTGAAAAGGAGAATTGTAGTGCATGCATAAGGGTGTGTTTGGTTTATTTGCCCTGCTGGTTGGCTGTACAGTAGTCGCCTTGTCTCTGTCTCCTCTGTTTACCTGCCCTGTTCTCGCCCGTTTCTGCTGCTGCTGCTGCTGCTGCACCGGCGATGTGACCCGTGCAGGTGAAGGCTTGTTGACTTGGGTTCAATGAGAGGGCACCTGTGGATAATGAAGATAATGCGTGTGTGTCAGGGGAATTAACGTATTAAGACATGGGACCGATGTTTGCTTTAAGTGCCAGTCCTCTATATGTAGAGCCTTTTCTGTACACTATCTCTGCTAGTGTTTGGACTGGCGGTAGAGTCGACTCCACTCATTGGTATTTATTATTTTTGCAGTTAGAAAAATTAGGCTTTGGAGTTCATCTGAGATGGATTATTCGTTATAGACAAAAAGTTTTGGGAAAAGGGCTGGGAGGCGGGGTTAAAGGTCCATGGGCCCATGGATGCAGAAGACTGCTGGAAGATTCTGGTCATTTTATACTGACAAGTTAAACTTTTTTTTTTTTTTTTTTTTTTTTTTTTTTTTTTTTTTTTTTTTTTTTGCTTCATGCGCCTCTGGGCAACTTTCACAGGAATGGATGGTGCACCACTTCCAAAGATGCAAACCACGTTTGTTGATCGATCTATCAATAGAGTAAATAATCGTTTAAGGTATATTACATGGGATAACAAACGTACACATTACCTGACAGCCATATCGGCAGCGTCTGAGCTTCAGCGGTTCCTCTCATCCGTTTCTTCACCTCCTATTTGAACGGATATCATTGGCAGACTTCAGTCGGGTGATGCTGAAAGACTTTACTGAAAGATACTTGACCCTGTCTCATAACCGGGCATGCGATGAATACAATACAAACTGCATATGGCGCAATTATGCAGGACAACTTGATTATCAACTGCAAGATAAATGTAAAGAAGATACAGAAACTAGTAAATAGACTATTGCAATTTGTGCATAAACCATAAAAATAATCATATGCAGATGTCATGTGCAATTCATGGCTGCCGTCTCTTGTTTAATTCAACCTTTATTGAAACCAAAGAGCACACAGGGCGAGCTTCTCCCGCTTTTTAAGGTCAGCTCTGATGTGAGCCGGCTAAACCGCGGAGGTGGATTCTATTAATTCACGAGCGAATAACAGGCGTCACCAAATAATAACTGAGCGGGAAAGTTGAGGAGAAAGTGAGTGAGCACACCACGTGTATTATTAGCCACGGCGGCGTGTCGCCCGTCTACTGTGTGTGTGTGTGTGTGTGTGTGTGTGTGTGTGTGTGTGTGTG